TAAATGATGTATTGATTAGTTTAGCATATCGGCATTATTAGTTTCAAAATCTACTAAAATTTATTTTCGAGGTTTTTACACTCTGAAAATGTTCTAATCCACTTCTAAGAAACGGGATGTGTTTTGAGATACCGAGATTTATACAGTTTTTCATTTCTTAAATGGTAAAGTCCGTTGTTGACATAAATAAAAGCAATTTTCGTAGAGCAATAAAAGAAAGCAAAGTAATATTTGTGTGAGTGTTTTTAATCTATAGAAGAAAATGAAAATAAATAATAAAAAAAAGTTTTTCTTGAGAGTAGGACAGAAAGTGGGCAATCGCTCTCTGGAGAAATATTTAAGTGTCGAAAAAGGATCGTTCTTCCAAAAGTTCAGTGAATGATCCCTCGAGAGTATTTTTTTCTCCACTTCTCTTTTTTTTCTGAGTGGAGAAGAAAATGACAAAAGCTGCTCTTCTTCTTAAATCATTCTTTTTTTTTTTAAACTTAATTATTTCCTTGTTAGGTAATTTAATTTTTATTTTTCTCTCGGCAATTCAGCTCCTGAATATTAATTGCACTTAAATAGCTTGCTTTTCTTATATTTCAAATAAGAAGGAGGGGAAAAAAATTTTCTGCTAGAAAAAGATAGTGAAAGTTAAACAATTTCATTTTCAAAAAATATTTTTATAATAAAATTATTGTTGCCAATTATTACTTTATTTTAATTTTTATCCTTAAAAGAATGTTAGGCTCTTATTAGTTATAGGGATCATATGTTGGCGACTGTTTTTCCGAGCCGTAAAATACCGTCATATATCGGTCCCTATAGTCGATGAATAGGAATTTTAGTAGCCCAAAAATATTGATATTAAACAAGATATAGCGACATTTATCCAATTTAACCAACTTATGATATTTTTGCATAATTCTATATTTTCGAAATCCAAATAAAAATGTACCAAAACTCACCTTTAATAATAATCATCGTACATAATACTCGTGATATTATGTTTTGTTTATAACGTGATATTATCTTTTTGATATTTAATAGGTATTGGTCACGATATTATCGTATTTTATAATTATAGCAATCAATATTAATCACAGTAATATCGTATTCGATAATGATAGTTATTCGGTAATGATAATGATCGCGATATCATTTTTCTGATATGCTTTCGATAATTATCTCGATTTTATGGTATTCGATAATTATAGTAATCAAGAATGTCTAAAATTGAAACAAAGCTGAGATTTCATTAAAACTTAATTATTTTAATTTAAAAAATAATAATCAATTGCAATCAATAAACATATTCACTAATGCAACAATAGAGCAAAGCGAGTATTCCTTGAAGACGAGTTATCTCGTCCGCCGCGATGAAAGAGTTAAGAAGGTATTTTTTCTACACTTAATTTACGATTGCAAACATTGAAACAAACATGTAGTCGAAGGATACCTTTCAGAGGGTTTTCTATCATTAGAAAAATATGATTTTGCGGGTCGCGATGTGCTCTAGTGATCTTTCCCCCCTTTTTATTCCAGACATAGTACAGAATACCGTTTTGTCAGCCAAAGGAACATCAGCCGAGTAACGTAATGTTTTAAATAAATTCGAATATTGTCGAAAATTACTGTGAAAACTATAAAGAAGTTGTTAAATTTATTATTAAATTTAAATAAGTTTTTTTTAAAAATTTATAATTTTTCCCTGTTATAGATGTTTTTAATATCAATTGCCTAACGGTATCTGAACATTATGAACCTCTTCGCCTACCCAAGGCATTGTTTAACGAGTAAGACGCGCCATGCATTTATTTCAAATAAATAAAAAGTGATGGCAAAAATTTTTTACTAGTTATTAGAGTGGTAATGTAGTTTAGGTATCAGGTTAGATTCAGTAACTAATCCACTAAATAAAAAAATTTCAATCATCCACGTAAAATTTTTTCTACCTGTTTTTTATTTGTTTCCTTTTAGTTTGGTATTTAAGCAAATGGGTCCCCAATGGGTTAATACAAACATTTTGAAAAAACAGACTCCACTTTGAACCATAATATTGATACTTTATACCATTATATGATTTAAATTTTGCTGCAACTATAATAAAATATTCACAATAGCTTAAAATTATCTAAGAACATTACAAATCTGATATCCATTATGAATCTTTGCGAATTAATAGCAACACTCTAAAAATAAGTTCAAATTTGAATCATAATATCGGTACCTTAAACCATAATACAGTGGAATATTAATAAGGTACTAAATTGAACCACGTATGTTTTCGTTCAACTTGGCCCATAATATCGTGCAATTAAATTTTCAAAATATGATAATGTGGTTTTAATTCGTATCATATTTATTAAGATTGCAGCAATTTTGTACAATGTTATGGTTGCTCAACACTCTGTTACGGAGCATACGATACCCTGCCAAGCTAAGTACATGCAACGTGTAGAAACAGTTTTCATTAAAAATATGTAACTGATAGGTTTTCTTAAATAAATTTTCACTTACGCAATGTTTTCTAAGTGTAATTAATATAGGGTTATTACACTCCGATAGATTGAAATAATTCAGATTAAAAAAAAAAAAAACTTATCCTTTTGAGATTAAGCCATATTTTATACTTGTTATGTAAGCAAATGATTTAAAGAAACCGAATATATGCCATTAATTTTTTTTTCAAATGACACAGTTAAAGCAGTTAAAAACCTCACAGAACGCAAATATATAATTACTTAAGACCTTAGAAAACTCAAAGAAATATTTTAAAGAATATTTGAAACTCAAACTTCTAAAGTTTTAAAGTCAATAATTCAATTCAACTTTCTGGCGCCTGCTCAGCAAACTTAACGAAGCGAATGTTTTGGATTATCTTTAATATCCTTTTAAACTACAGCAAAATTTTATATCTCTTGGAAGGGAGTGTCCACCGAGTTTAAAGCTTTGCATCAGACAAAAGTATTAGTATTTAACTTATTTACGTAGCGCAATCACATTTTAATTGAAGTTTTCTTCCCTAACGTAGGGATGTGAATTAGCACACTAACATCGACTTTATCCAGACGACTTTTTGAAGAAAAGCTACTAATGTTCCATTAAGACTTTTAGAGTTTAGCGAATTGTTTTCTTTTCTTCGTCTCCCTTTCAGGGACATCTTTAATTGAGAAACGGTCGTCTCTCTTACTTTGTAATCACAAAGGAATTTGAAATATTTAACTGCTGTAATTAAAACTCACAAACTATCTCGACGAGAACAATGAAGATGGAAAAAAAAGGGCAAAAATTCGAATACGACTCCAGAGAAATTCGAATAGTTCTGAAACGTCGTTTGCGCCAGTTTGTTTCCCTTCGTAATTCTTTAGTAATGAGAGTTGAGGAAAAGGCAGTGGCCTCTGGTGGGATTCACTTCTTGGACTCACACACAAAGCAACAGTGTGATGCTCGACGATCGGATGTGTCCCAAGGCGACCGTTGTCCATTGGTGTAGATTCTTGTCTTCAGGTCCTTCTCCTCGCCTCGAACATTTTAGTTTCTTCTTTTTATTTTTGGAAACAAAAGAGAATTTGATGTTTTTTTGTTTGGGTAAATGTGTAATATTCTCATCCTAAACGTGCTTCCCAAAGAGTATTATGGTATAGAATTACACAGCATTTTTTTTTGTATTTCTATTTCATTGAAATTTATTTACTCTTAAAAGAAGAAACACTGAAGATATTTTACTTATTTACGGATATATTATGCTCTCAGAAACATAATATTGGTACCTAAAATCATTATACGCATATATTTGCTGCAACCTTGATAAGATGCTAAGTCGAACTATATTTTAGTACTTCCTGGACTATTTACGTGATACTATTGTTAAACTGGTGCAGAAACACGGTTCAATTTAAACACTTATTAAGGATGCAGTAAATTTGAACGTTATTTGAATCTTATATTTGGTTGTACTAAACTTCTTGTAAAAGATCGTGTATACTTTTTTGTTACGTTTCAAGGTTCAATTTAAATTTTATTTTGTTTATTTTTAAACTGATTTCTGTGAGAGTGTAATTTTAACACCAAAATTTTCTACTTTTATTATAGAAATCTCTTTAATTTCTTTCTCATATGAAAATCCATTGGGAGAAATTTTCAAATGTTATTTTTCCTATTCTACACAACAAAACCTTCATTTATCTTTTTTTGGCGTGGGGAGGGGATGCGTTATGTTTTCTAATGGTCTTTTATCAACGAAAGTGTGTTAAAAACAACTATATTTGTGATAACATCAAGAAAAGGAAAAATCAAAAAAATTATGCCTAACATTCTAAAGAAAACGAGCTATTTTTCGTATTCAAATAATTAAGCCTAAAGTTTTGATTAAAGTAGAAGCATTCATGTCTATGCCTAGATTATCGATGTGGTTAACGAAAAAACTTAAAAAGTCGAACCTTGTAATTTTAATGGCTTAAATTTTTGTGAAAAACTTAAAGTATTATTTTTGCAAATCTAACACCAAGCTAACTTTTTATTTCTTTCTACTTTTTAAATGGATTGTGCTTTGAATGACATCCTATTTGCTAACGGTGGTTCATCTATAAAATCTGATTTTAGAAATTCTATCAGGAAATGATCAAAGTAATTCTAAAAATTCGAATAAGAGGAAATCAACGCAATTCTAATTCAACAGTCAAATCTAAGAATATTTTAAGTATTTAATAAGAGAAAGGAAGGAGAAAAGAAAAAGTTTACATTGCAATTTTAAGCTCAACTATTCAGTTCTTTTTTTTTTTTCATTGCGCATGCGCGTCGTTACTTCTACGTAAGAAGAAAATTGTTACTTGACGGGAACATCCCACCCCCCGTTGGATGTTAGTCCAACATCATCCGGTAGTGGAAGTATGTTAGAGATGGCTCGGCGAAAAGTTACTCTGACAAGATTGTCTTCTCCAGGATAAGTTTTCACAATTCTAGCCAGATTCCATTGCATTGCTGTCTTACTAGGATCTTTAAGAAGGACTAGTTGATCAACTTTCAGATTTTCTTGTTGACAAGTCCATTTCGAACGTGTTTGTAGTTGACTCAGGTTCATGGCTCCATCTATTCCAAACGCTGTCTTTCAGACGTTGAATCAGGCTCCACCTAGAAGAAAGAGAAAAAGAATCTGGAGCAGTATGATGTTCAGGAAATGACATAATCGGAGCTCCAACTAGAAAGTGTCCTGGTGTCAACGGCTGCAGATCGTTAGGGTCTGATGACATGGGCGAAAGTGGGCGTGAGTTGAGAATACTTTCGATCTGCACTACGAGCGTAGTCAGTTCTTCAAAATTTAGTAAGTTAGATTTTGTGACTTTCAAGAGTATTCTCTTCATGGATTTAATATTAGCTTCCCACAGACCACCAAAGTTAGGAGACGCAGGCGGTGTGAAATGCCACTGAATTCCCTCTTCAGCACTAAATTTCTTCACAGAGTTTGACTGGCAAAGTTCAAGCATTGAGTTCAAAACATTTCTTGCACCTTTGAAGTTAGATGCGTTATCACTCCAAATAATCGACGGTTTTGAACGTCTCGAAATGAACCTTCTCAAACAAGCTAAAAAAGCATCTGTTGTCAAGTCTGAGACAACCTCGAAGTGAGTAGCCTTAGTACTGAAGCAAATAAATATAGCGATGTAAGATTTAATTACAACCTTAGATCTCTTCAAATTAGGTTTTGTTAATATGGGACCAGCAAAGTCTAAACCAACTTTATCAAAGGGTCGTGATGGTACGATCCGATCTTTGGGCAAGTTACCCATCTTTTGATTAATAGTTTGTGTCTTAGTCTTGAAACAAGTCAAGCATTTATGTATGAATCTTCGGACTCTATCTTGTCCAGAAGGTATCCAGTAAAATTGTCTAATCAAATAAAGTGTTGTCTGAACTCCCGAGTGTAATGATTTGTTATGAAAGTGTTCGATGATTAATTGTGTAAGGTGATGAGATTTCGGTAAAAGCATTTGATATTTTTGTGATTCTGTTAACTCGGAGAATTTCAAGCGACCACCAACTCTCATAAGTCCATTGTCGTCCATAAACACATTCAATGATATGATTTTGCTATTTTGAGGAATTGGCTGTTTGTTTTTTAGGCATTTAATCTCAGAGCTAAACTCTATAGATTGCACACATTTTACTAACACCTGTGTAGCATTTNGCACCTCCTAAAAGTGATTTTAAATACGAGAATTTGTCTATTACAGATAATGTTTCATTTTTATCAATTGTACTTTGAAATTGATTCCAGAATTCTATCCAAACACACGGATCTCCATAATATTTTTCTATCGATAATTTAGGAAGTTTAACATTATTGTTTATTTTCCGATTCAAAACTTCTGTGGCTATAGTATTGTTGGAATGTTCTTGTGCCTGAATTAAATTTACCCTATCATAATTATTAGCAGTTGCATTACGAAGAAAGGATTTTATCTTAGAAGAAAGTTTCGAATTCCATAAAACAATTTTCTGACCATATTCCATTGCAGATTCAATTTCTGCATCAAAATCATTTTCATCTACAATTAGAGATTGTATAGTATTATCTAAATCATTTATTTGTTTTAATCTACTAGTCAAAAAATCTAAATGTTGTTCTAGTTCAGTATCAGTATTTATTTCATCAAATTCTTGTTCTAATTTGTTAATATATTTTGTTATGCTAGAACGCAAAACGCCTCTAATTTTTCTCTGTTTAGTTAATTCTTCCATATTTTAAAAATTCTTATCAACACTAATAATCAAATTTATAATTTGTATGATGTTTCAATATTTAGTAAATATGTAAACAAATACTGCATCACACAATCAAAACAAAGCAACTTTCTACAAAACAACTAACAACTGCTTTAAATTTGAAGCATCAAATTATCTAAATCTTCATATAGATCAAATTATCAAATATTCCTACCTTTCTTTTCTTTACACTTCCTGATCAATCCGAAATCGAAACAATCTATAACAACAAGAATGTTGTTTCGCGGCGTATGCACCAAAAATGCTAACGGTGGTTCATCTATAAAATCTGATTTTAGAAATTTTATCAGGAAATGATCAAAGTAATTCTCAAAATTCGAATAAGAGGAAATCAACGCAATTCTAATTCAACAGTCAAATCTAAGAATATTTTAAGTATTTAATAAGAGAAAGGGAGGAGAAAAGAAAAAGTTTACATTGCAATTTTTAGCTCAACAGCTACATGAAATTCTAAACATCGAATGAATATTAATATTCAGTTCTTTTTTTGTTTTTGGCAGTGCGCATGCGCGTCGTTACTTCTACGTAAGAAGAAAATTGTTACTTGACGGGAACACTATTACCATAAGATTAATAACATTGAGATTTGTAAACAAACATCGAGAAAAATAAAATGAAAAACTACAATTCAAGATGGCAAAAAAAAGGAACTAACACGAAAGCTGTATTTAAATATTTAGAAAACATAGAAATTTGGGGACATTTACATGGATTAAAAATTTTTGTTTACATATATGTGTACATATATGTACATATATGTGCCTATATCCTTGAAAATGACAAAGAACAATTCAAAAATACACACAGCATAATTTAAATGATTCAAATGTTTAGGGAAAAACACAAAAATTTCTAAACGTTTCCAAGTGCTTTTTTCCAATCTAATATAAAAAATAATTTATTTTCCATCATCAGATTTAAAAGCATTGTGCCGTTAAATTTGTCATCAAAAATGTGTATATAATGTGGAGATTTGTTAAACAAATATCGAGAAAACAGAAATTAAATTTCGATTTCAAGAAGGCGAATGGAGCTGTATTTAAATAGTTATAAGAAAAATTTTGATCAAGCAAATACATACACACATGCTGATATTTTCGATAAGTACAAAGAAGGAATCAAAAAATAAAATTATAATGCCTCAAATTTTTGGAGAAAAAAGTTTTAAAAGTTATCGAGTGCTATATTTACCAATTGTTATAGCAAATAACTTATCTATTTTTGAAAGTTTGAATTTGTCATTAAAAGTTTGTTAATAATATGAAGATTTGTTAAACAACGAATATCGATAAAATAGAAATCAAACATTAAACTTGAAATCAAAGATGGCGGGGTAAACTGCATATAGATCCAACGAAAACTTTGAAGAAAGTAAACGTATACAAGTATGCCTGTATCCCTAAAGTGATTTAAGGACAAATAAAACGCTTCGTGTCTAGCAAAGGAATTTATTTTGTCGAAAATATAGCATATATATTTAATCCCCATTCTTATAAAAAAGTATCAAGAGTAACTTACGAGTAAATGAATTCATTTTCATTATCTTTAAATAAACACGAGTGATTATGTTATGATTCCTATTAAAGTTCCTTTCCCTCCATTTGAATTGAAATTCACCTTATCTCATGCATCCCAGGTGAATCATAATTGTTCTCGAGAAAAATTTAATTTAATTATCTCGAGCAAACTTTCGTACGAATTTTTTTTAGAGCGCGATGATAACCATTGGCGATATTTTTCCCTTGCTGTAAAATGAAATGAAAAATGTAAACATGCTAAATTAATTAAATAGGATTATTAAAACTCTTTTTGTATATCTAGCTGCGATGGTTTTAATTGGCGTTTTGAAAAAATGTGATACGCAATTCCCGGCGTTTAAAGTGTAACTAGTTAGGATCTAGAGAAAGCTTAGCAGAGCAAATGTTTTCTCAAATTTAATAATCTCTCCTAATTGGCAAATTACTCAGAGAATTTGAGGAATAATGCAAATGCGCGTAGTATATTATATATGCTTCTGTGCTAAAAAAAAGGATAAATAAATAAAAGAAAAATTATTTGGAGATGAAATTTAAATGTTTTACGAAACTAATAAAATTGATCCTTCTTAATGCTTTTTTTGTTTGATTTTTTTTCTTCAGAATATATAAAATAAAATATAGTTAACGTGTTACTTGATTTTGATTTTAAATATTAAATTAACTCACCATATTGCTTGAAACTTGAATTTTTTTCGACACAAATTTTCTACTTTAAAGAACTTTTTGCTATTCATCTATCGAGAATAATACTATGCTATAGAATATTGAATGCTATTTATCAATCGAGAATAATGCTATGCTGTGGAATATAGAATGCTATTTATCTATCGAGAAAAATGAATACTATTTATGTAATCGAGAATAACTAATATTTTAAGTTGTTAACGAAGGCTGAATTTCCTAAAATTTGGCTTTGACTGTAACTTCATAGAGTGCGCAAAATTAGCTGGAGATTTGAATAACTTTTAATTTAATAATCGGATTTTAACGTACTAACATGCAATCTCTGTGCTTCGAGGGATTGGCATAAAAGTTATTTATTAATTAGTACAGACGATATTTTAAGTTACGAAATTAGATTATGAAACTCACTTTCTCGGAATATACACGCCTTTTTTTTCAACGAAATTAAGCTCTTTATCTTCACAATTTGGGTAAAAGCGCAATCTGAAAAATATGGTTCAAATTGTTTAGTCAAGAGAACTGTCGAATGTTTAGACTTCTTCATGTTACTTTGCCATTTTGCGTATTTCGCGATATTTCAGGAACTTTTTAAGCCTATCGGAAATTTTTTGTACGCAATTGTATAGCTCGTTAATTAAAAGATAATGCCAATTCTTTTTTAATAGTTATTAATATTTTTATTGTTTAATTTCATAACTTTTTGTTGTTGTTTTTTTTGTTGTTGCTTTTGGTCTAACAATGCTTTTTTCGATTCGAAAGCTCACGCATCATGCGAAATAACGTCTTTTACCAGAAAGAAAGTTATATTTTATGTTTAGAGTTCGTATTCCATTTCTAGCCAGTGCTGTCTTTTTTGGTATCGAAAATAATGTAAAATTTAAACATAAAAAAAAAAAAATCTAAAAATTAAAAAAAACAAACCTCTTTATGATCCAATTTTTTTTAAATTTTTGAGCAGGTATTCATTGTCTGCATTGTATAACAACTTAACAATCACAAAAATTTTTATATAATAAAAATAATTGATTTATTTCAATTCGCTTTCAGTAGTTGGAAAATCTATTGAGTATACAAAATTTGAACTTTACATTGAGTTTAAGGAACTCATATTGCGGAATTTTTTTATTTTTCTGCCTTCAAGAACATTCTAATAAGAAAGTTTCTCTTCGAAGAATTAGGGTTATATTATATCTTACGAGATGTTTTCATTGGATTATCGCTAAATTGGTCACTAGGATGAGCGATTTTGTTTCATTTATTCAACCAGGGTAGAAGCATCTATATAAGGTAATATTTCCTTCATTTGCTGCACATAGTCGACAACTTTTTGTACGTTATTTCTGTATTTTTATTTTGATATAAAATGCATTTTATTTGAATTATATATATATTTTTTGCTTTTTTTGTTTATGTTATTTTAATGTGTTCTTTTTCTTTCCGAAACCCTTTTATTTTGCAGGTAAATACAACGGGCGTCAAAACAATTTGCCAATTTTCATTGAGGGCATCTTCAAATATATTTTTACTAGATTTACAACAGCTACTTTTTTTTAAAAACTTCTTAAGCAATATGATGAGCCGCAATGGTTCTGGGGATAGAGCGTTCGCCTTCAAATCAGGTGATCCGGGTTCGAATCCCCAGCGGTGGCTGGTCGGAACGAATCCGGCTTGCACCGACCACAGTGCTGACGTGAAATATTCTCTGTGGTAGATGGATCATGGATTAGAATTCCTTTGCCGTCAGGCTAACCGTGGGAGATTCTCGTGGTTACCAAGTAACGCAAATTCGGGTTGGTTCCATCAAAAAGTCCTCAACGAATTTCTCTCGTAAATTTCTTCCAATACTTGATCTAGGAGTTCCCTTCTGGATTAGATTCAAAATTACAAGGCTACGGAGTTGAACATTAGTAGTCGTAAACCCAAAAAATTGGATCAGCTGTTCAACGACGGTAATATTATTAAGCAATATGATCCGCATAAAATATCAAGCATTTTGTACTATGTGCGGCTTTGAGGAGAACTCCTCCAGACTGAAAGTCTGGGGCTGTTTGCTGTAC